TTTTTTTTTTTTACATTTAAAAAACTGTCCCACTTTGCTTTATAAAGCCAATGTGCTATAGAATTCAAAGTGATACACCACCAGTAGCTGGTGTTTTGCTCCTCTGGTATTCCTGTCAATTCATTTCTGTGCCCTGCTCATGTATTGAGCCACGTGCCTGTTCATTTTAACTGTTACGATGCCTGGTAGGAGCTTCCTTTTGGTACTGAGGTACGTTATTGGCATGTAGTTTGATGGGACTGTTTCCTTCTGCGGGTCCTTGGGGATCAGGACTAACTGGCCTTCAGTTAGTGATTCTGGGTGTGCTTCATCCAATAGCAGCCTGTTCATTTGTGCTGCCAGATGCTCATGGAGTGCAGTCAGCTTCTTCAGCCAGTAGGCATGAACCATGTTGGGCCCTGGTGCTGTCCAACTCTTCATACTGGAGACCCTTTCTTGGATGTCTGCTACTGTGATGGTTACTGGGGCCTGTTCATGGAGGTTGCTGTGATCTGCCCTTAGATCCAGTAGCCACTGACATTGTTGTTATGTGTTGCATCCTTCTCCCATATGCTCTTCCAGTATTGCTCTGTCTCCAGCCTTGGTGGTGCTGTTCTCATATTGCTCCCCTGCCACTGAAAGTACATCTTGGATGGTGCAGTAGAGTACTGCTGGTTGATCCTCCTGCCTTCTATTTTTCTCGTATATTATCAGTATTTATGTAGATTTAGATGTACTGCTTCAGATTTATGTGTGGATTGTGGATCATATTGTATGTATTGCAACACTTTTGAGGCATATTTCTCTCCATATTTAATCAACTCCATACAATTCAAATAACTAAAAATCTAAACCTTAAACACTGAGTAGCAGGGAAAAGCTAAACTCAAAACTCCAAAATTATTACAGAAACTAAGAACCATAAGTAAGTGGTTCTTACCTTCTTAAGTGGTAAAGACTACTGCAAAGTTTAGAACCAGTTACCTCTAAATCTCAGATAATTGATTACTGTGGTTTAATTTATTTATTCTTTTAAGTTGTATATGTGTTTCCATTATTATTTCAAACTCTTACCTCCCATTTCCCATCGAATTCTTTGCCTTTTTTTTCTCTGATTGCTTCCATAAACATCCCATCATAAAAATGAGAATAGGGCCCATGTCCTTTATATGACAAAATAAACATATGATATGAACAATGGGGTTATTTTCTATACCTTCTTATCTGGCATTGCACATTGACTAGTATAGACAGACACTTCCATAGACGTGAATACAGTGCAGTAAACAGTATAGTGCAGCGGTCCCCAACCCCCGGGCCTCGGACTGGTACCGGTCCGTGAGTCGTTTGGTACTGGGCCGCGAGAGTTGAGGCTCAGGTGTGAAATGTATGGTTTTCTGGGTTTTTATTGGTTTTCAGCGTTATTTTGTTATCGTTTTGATCGTTAACTCGGTTTTCCTGGGTCTTTTCACGTGTGTTATGAATAAATCTTCTTTTTTGGTACCGGTACTAGTTTTATTTTGTTGTATTTATCCGCGACACCTTAAAGGCCAGTCCGTGAAAATATTGTCAGGCATAAACCGGTCCGTGGCGCAAAATAGGTTGGAGACCGCTGGTATAGTGTATATCTTAATTCATTCTATTAAATGTTCATCCTGTGAAACACATGGGTTTTATTTTCTGCTTTCATTTAAGAATGTGTTAGTTTTAGCCACATCAGTGGTCAAGGTCAACATAGTACTTGACATGGGGATAGTTTAATTTTATTTTCATGTTTAATCACACCCTATGATGGCCATCTGCAATATAATATTTGTGATATACAAAATGCTTGTATTACTTACCTAAGTCATGACAAAGACCGGCAATCTCCACACAGAGGACATCTCGGTCACTGATGAGCGATTTCTTCATCTTCTCCAACTCATTAGGCTTAAATTTCATCAACTTCTTAAATTTCTTCACATTCTCCGGCCTCAACTTCTTAAACTTGTTCAACTTCTTAAACAACTCAAGATGATGCTTTTTAAACTCGTCCAACTCCTCAGACGTCTTCTTCTCAAACTCGATTAACTTCTCAGTATTATAAGTTTCCAACTCCTCCAACTCATTAACGTCAAATTTCTCCAACCTCTTCAACTTCTCGAACATCTCCAAATCCTCATACTTCAACTCCTTGAACTCGTTGAACTTCTTCAACTCCTGAGGCTTCAAATTCAACTCCTCAGAATCCTCAGTCTTTAAGTTGTGCAACTTCTCCATCTCCTCAGGCATCAACTTTATCAACTTCTTCATCTCCTCAGGCGTCAATTTTATCAACAGGTTCAACTTCTTCAACTCCTCCAACTGCTCGATCTGCTTCTCCTGCTTCATCTTCAGAGCTTTTGCAAGCTCACCTGCTAAATGTGCCACTCTTTATTGCAAAATAGAGGAAACTGTTTTCAGTTAGTACACTACTACACTGCAAAAAACCAAACAAACCCCAAAACAAAACAACAAACCAAAACAATTAGAGAACAATGAAACACATCAGATCGCAACAGGAAAAAAAAATCATGCTGGGTGTATATACTGATATGGAGTGGAACACTGACCCTAACCAATGCAACTAATGAAAAAGGGAGGAAAACAAATGTCAGTTGCCTTGTTGTGTAAATCGATTCCTCTTTTGATGGTTGTCATTCTTGCCCCTTTATTGTGCCTGTTGTTAATGTAATTAATATGAAAGCAACTTCAACTGATCAAGAGCCCTCTCTGCCACTTAACTAATCAGATCAATATCCTAGAGTTTTTAATGACTTGATGCTGTACTTTGATTAAAAAAGTGCTCCGGTCATTTTTTTGTGTGAAGTATATAACCCAGTCTGTCCTTTCTTTTGGATTTTTATTACAAATAGGTGTTCATGTATGAAAACCAGTGGACATACCCAATTGAGTGTTCAAAGCGGTTGTGAGATGCTCCTGGATAAACATTATAAATCCCCCCAAGTTGCCTGATGTTTCGTAGTCTCTGGAACTCAGGAGTGTCTATAATTTTGACAAGAACTGGGTGTAATGCCATGTGACCATGGATGGGATCATTAAACACCTTTGTGAAGAAAAACAAGACAACAAAAGAATTAGACAAACGATGTCCGACTAGCACAATGTCAAGTAGCAGGCTTTGGGGGGTGTTTTTTGTTTTTTTTCACAATTAATTTGGTACAGTGGTAAACAACCATAGTGGCTGATGCTCAGTTAAATTTTCCAGTAACTTGCCTGTATGGCACCATCAGAGACACATGGGCAAGATTTCATTTCATGAAAGATAAATAAATTTGTCAGGATCCTGGGTCTCTCAAACAGTGTTTTGAGTTTCCTCTCTCTCTCTCTCTCTCTCTCTCTCTCTCTCTCTGGTGTCAGCATTTTCAGCTGTGTTTCCTTGTGCTTCCACTTCTCTCATTACCTTTGTGTATTTATCTCCCTCTCCCTTTAGTCTCCCTCAGTGTTATGTGCGCTTCCCCGTGTTCTCCCTGTGTTTCTTTGTGAGATAAAACCTTATTTTGAGTGTATCCCTGTGTGTGGTTAGTCCTGCGTTTGGGTCCACTCCTGCCTGCACACATCCGCTCCCTGACAATAGTCTTCTCTGGTTACATTTTTACCTTTTATAATAACCTGTCTTGTTCCACTTAAAGTCTTTTCTTTATACTTGGGCTTTCCCACAGACTATTGCTTGACCTGAAACTTCCAGTGTAGTTTTCAGTTGTCTTCTTTCTTTTTTACCCCTTGGCTGTAAATTGTTGATGGGGTCCTATTGTAACCCCATTGCGTAAGCATGTGGACACCTGAGTTTCGGAATGTAATAACTTAAGAATGAGGTGATGTAGGATTTTGAAATTGATAGCAGAGGTGCATTTACTAATAATCTTCGAGATGTTCAAATCTTAGTGACTTCAAGGTCAAGGTCCTAGGTCAAGTTTTCTGAATAAAACAAAGTCATCTAGGATTTTGGAATTAATACTATTGGTGCATCTAATCAAAGCCTCGGACAAGTTTGAATCTCAGTGTGATATGATACAAATATCACTGAACCCACTCTTTGTGGTGAAAAAAGCTTGATTATATTTAAGAACATTTTTATATAATTTTTCATTATTGGTGAAAGTCAAAGAGAGCTTTTTTCAGTAGACTAATAATAATCACATCTGGAACATAGAAAAACAATTCATTGTTTTGATAGAAGTGCAGGTGATAATTCTTAGAACAGTTTCAATAATATTATTAAAACATTGCACTTTACAGAAAGTCAATCCTGAAGACAGGCATGCGATAGAAGACACATTATATAATAATGTTGGTCAGGGAATTCCCTAAAGAATCATACACGACTGAGTACTTTATGTGACTGTTTCTCTTACTGTCAGTGACTCATGTTCATCCTTGATTTGGACACTATTTTACTCAGAATACAAGATGATTTAAGGAAAGTTATTTGATCTTTATTGACTCAGATTTTTTGTATTATTTGAATTTTTTGCAATTAAAATTGTGAGACAGTGGAGTTCATTTCTGATGTTGTGTATATTTTTTTGACTTTTTACTGTCTTACAAATCTGACTTGTGGGAACTCATTGTAAACAGAATATTAACCAATGGATCAGCTTGCCCCTACCCAATATAAAAAAGAAATATTCAGCAAAAGATGATATTTTAGGTACCCCGCACTCATTGCAAGCCTTTAGAAAATCTCTTTTGTTGTTGTTGTTTTTTTTTAAAGTGATCATACTGGCAGGGACTAAAGATAACAATAATCTATATGGTGTGGAAAAGAGATATTTTATTTTTTATTTTTATGGTGACATTTTATAATCAGACCTATTATGGATTAATCATTTATCATTGTTGAATCTGATGACAGTATAATCTTTGTTTTATATCTATGGTAATCTGAGTAAAGATTAATGTATGCATATTATCATCATTGTAATCAAATCTCAAATGGTATCCACAGCATTATATTCACCGTCCATAACTGGAGGGTCCAGCAGGACCTTGTTCTAATTCATTTGCAGGCCTACATCAGAACATGCACATAGAGAGTTATGTAAACACGCACGTTCGCATACACACTTATTTACACAGGGAGGTCGTGTCAGGACGTTCTCTAGTTGGACTCACAGAACTGCACAACATGACATGTCACACACTTGTTTTTCTCTAAAAGTATCATCCGATGTTTGTATAAGGAGAACTTTGGACTATGGGGAGACTTATCATTTCCAGTAAGATCTAACTGTGATGTCATCATGGCAATATAAGGAGACGGGATGATCCGTTCGACGAAGGATTGTATTGCAAATTGTCTTTCCCACACTGACTGCGCAAAGTGTGTAATAAAGATCACTATTTTTGACACCTTTACTTCGATCCAGTCTGCTTTCTTCTCTGAACCAGTCGAACTAATCTCAACAATTTTTGGTGCCGAAACTCTGGTGGGGAGGAGAAGAGCTTGCGGCTGCTTCTTGGAGGTGACAAAGAGACGAACGCCAGCAGCTTATCTGAGTGACGCCAGGCGATATAAGAAAGGTGAGTAGTGCCACCTGTTGATGTTTATCCAAAGGCGCTATATTGGAAGTTAAAACTAAATTTAATTAAATAATATTCACTCAGTATGGGCTTCTGGTGTTGATCCATAGTGATCTTGTGTAATTAGTTCTAAAACAGGGCATATTGGTCTGACCAAATTTATTGCTGTTTATTCTGGGAGTGAATTTTGAGTTAAGAGGTTATATGTGTCTAATACAATACGGTTTAAAGTGTTTGATGCCAGACAGTAAATCGGTAGTGTAGGGAATTTGGTTTTTATTGAGTAGCAGAAACGCGGTTTCGGGCGTCAGGTAATTAAACTGGAGGCGGAGACCTCGCAGTGATGCTTATAATATATTGAATAAACTTGTTTATGACTGGGGATTCCCCTAGGAATGCAGTTTTCGTTCAGCAGGTGGCACTGACCCCTAATCGCGGACGCGTGGTTAGGTTTTAGCCCGGAGTTGGCCTTCCGTTGAGAACTTAGGACACTCAGTTAAAAGGCCAGACAATCAATGGGTGATTGTCTTATACTGCATTTTTTGATCGACAGAGTCGGACTCGCCTGCCCCTGTTAACGTCAAGGACCTGTGAACTTTAAGTAAAGCCAAAAGCGTGATCTGTGATAGGTTACGTGACTGGTGGAGCTCCTGGTTTTCTGACGGGGAGCAGGTATAAATTCTTTCACATTTAAGGTGAGCTTATGATTATAGCATCTGAAGCATCCTGAATAAAAAAACAACACAAAAAACAAAGGTCTTTTTCTTTAAAATGTGAATTCAGGCTGACTTAATATTAACAGAGCACCACTGTGAGTGTGTATACTGTTGATCTTGCCAATGAGCAAAGACATGTCTCCACTGCCCACACAGCGCATATATGTCAGGAATACGGAGCTGTGAAGTCTAGTGTGTGAAAGCAATGTGTGGAGACTCGTGCATGTGGCCTGCTGTAAAGAGCAGCAGGGGAACTTAGCTGAACTGAGCAGAGGCAGATATGAACATCCACAATGTTCATATCCTTATCTACAATAATAATGATTCTTATTTTTGCTGTAGCCAACTTTGAGGTCAGTTTTAAAATGTCGCAAACCTAGAACTGTTTCTGACTCACCAGCAGTAACTGAAGGTAACGCGTTTAGTAACGCGTTACTGTAATCTGATTACTTTTTTCAAGTAACGAGTAAAGTAAGGGATTACTATTGCAAAAAAAGTAATTGGATTACTGTTACTTTCCCATAAGCATGCTGCCTTATTGCGTTACCAAAAAGTGATTTTGTTTGCCAGAGTGTCTCATGACAATGACTTAAGCGCGTGCGACATTCGTGGTAACGACATGTGCAGATCAACAATGGATAATATATCGAGTGCGGGAGAGAGTATGACCAGCGTGGAAGTACTGACCTTACTTTGAGTTTGATTCCAGAAAAAGTGACAAAAACATTAG